AACAAAAAGTAGATAGAAAAAAACAAGCTAGTTGACCGGGCGGGAAGGGAAGACGCGGAGAAGAATTGGGAGCGATCGACTTATAAGGGACAGGCGGCGTGCGTCATCAGGCACTGATGAACTGATAAAACCGAGAACCAGGCCGACCATGGCCACGAGGACGTGTGGCACTTGATGTCGAGCCAACTAGTCGCGTCGCAAGTTAACGACGGAAGAAAAACATATTGTGCAGGCAACAGCAGCAGAATTATGCACGTGACAGCAAGATATAAGTACATTGAGCGTATACATTCGAAACAAGATGAACAGCAAGTCCTTAATCATCAGCCTCGAGCAAATAGGCCTCCACCTCGTCCTCCGACTCCTCGCCCGAATCCGACTCGACGATGACAAGATCCTATACAGGAAGTTTTAGCGACGATCACACGGTCAACGGTAGCACGCACAGGGTTAAGCGGTAGCGGCGACGGCGACGGCGACGGCGACGGCGGCTGCGACGGCGGCGGCCACTCCAGCGGCACCAGGGAACAAATATCCTTCGAGTTGGGAAGCCTCACGCGAGCAGCCCGAACGAGAGCAGCGTGCTCGCTGAGATCGGGGCGCTCGAAGGCCAGCCTCACAATCGTCCGGATCCAGAACCGCCACAAGGACCAGGCCCGTACGGCGCGAGGGCGCTTCACGCGAAGGCGATAGGATTCGGTCTCGCCGATGACAGCGTTGTCGCTCACATTGCTATAGCGGTCAGAAAGCGCACGCAAAAAGCGACACGATGACAACGCACACAGAGGTCGTAACGCCGACGCAGGTACCCAGGAATATAACGTGGACGGCCATGTCGTTGTCCGCGGTGCCACGGCGCACGCGTTGGTAGAACGGCGCGAGTTCGTCGGGGCAAGGGACGCTGTCGATGTCGAACGCCGCGATACCGACGTTGCTGCACGCGACGAGGAGACAGCCAATGTAGTAGTGAAAGCGTTCGCCTAAGAAGTAGTCAGATACTGTCCGTAGACGGACTGGGTACACTTACGCTCCATGGTACAGGTTATAGAACCGTTAGGGATAGTAGCGATGGCGGACATGGCAGTCAAGAGCAAAGAACGATTCAAGCTAAAGAAGCGGCGCGCGGTCTTATATAGTAGACTAATTACAAGTTCACACGGTCAAAAAGTAAGAAATAAGACTGTATATATGAGGACAGCAGCAAGCACCACACATCAACCCATCACAAGTTGACTTCGCACGCGCGACCAATCTTCGGAGTTTGCCGAGGGACGATTGCGGTCCGATCAAGAGTCAAGAATTCGAGCAAAAATTGTGGGCCAATGGGAGCGCTGCCAAGATCACGTGCCCGGTCCGGTGAAGGGATTCGTTTGCCTCAAGCCGAGTTCTCCGAGCCCCGGAATAGAGCGAGGAGAGTTCGATGCGGTGGGTGTCGTTGTATGCATTCATGCGGGGTTTCAACTTGACCTTGTACGAACACGCAATATTGTACGTGAAGAATACCTCGTCGCTGTCGTACGCGTTGATGCCGAGGTGGTCGATTGGAGTGGACCTATACGCAGAGTCAGTACGAAGAATGATAGAGTAGTCGCCAGTAGTTACCTCTCGCGGTGAGTGAGATCCGATGGTCGTCCGCTGCGTGAGTTAAGGCGCGCCACGTCAACGCGTGGCTAACCGAAGAGGCCGTTCGACGACGATGCTGTCGGGCAGCAGGGCAAGCGCTCGTCCCGGCCGCAGCCTACACTGGCGGCGGCTGTCGGATGCATGTTGGGGGGTATTATCGTATTAGACCGCTCGTGACATTCCCTCGCTTTGATACTGTGAAAGCAGTCTTTTCCTCCTCGCGTCTCGTATCGTATCGTCAAATACACATAGTATTCTGCCGTCTGTCCTGTCGTCGGCCACGTATAGTCCGGGAGAACGACCTCCCGAACCTTCCCCGATGGTGTATGCTCCACAACGTGAGCGCGACGCGCATCGATGCTTGATTGACGCGCTCGAACACATCCCGAGATAGCCTATATCCACAAGCCTTCCCTTCTTCCAAACTTCGGTCCCTCTCTCTCCAACACCACTCGCCATCCAATCGCGGCGTTCTCCCGCTGCCGTTGGACGTGCTCGTGGTGTGCATGCGACCCAGCGAAGCGCCGACCAGTAGACTGAGACCAAAATCTGAAATCGATACAGTGAGTCAAAGAGCGTCATGCGTAGAAACGTAGACGTACCTCAAACACATATGTCACTTGGACGACGACCCATGGCGGTACACGTCGTGCGGATAGCCAGCAAAAGGCCGTCTGTCGAAGAGCCAAAATGTGACAGGACTATCAGAGATAATCCCGGCGCATACGCGCATGCGACGAAGCCGACTCGGCCCAGACGCTAGCCGGAATATCCGATGCCATTGCCCAATGTGCGGGCAATCGAGAAGAGATAGTGTGATAGTAGGCTCAGGCCGTGGCGGTCCAGAGAGCAGCGAAACGCTTGCCGGCAGGAGGTGAACGTCAAGGTGCAAAAGTCCCACCCGCCACCGTCGGCGTGTATGCTCGCTCGCTGTCGCTCTCGATTGAACAGTCGCAGAGACAGCCATCCTGCTTCAAGTCCTGCACCTCGCCCAGATGCGCCTCCCGCTTAGCAGCGTACTACGCCCCAAGCTTGTTCTTCAGCTCCGCCATACTCTCCGTGACGTCCACATTGCTCGTCTCCTCGTCCCGGATGGTCTTCTCCAGCAGCTCCTCGTACTCCGCCTCGAGCGCGGATAACCGCGTCTCAAGCTCGTCGAGCCTCCGCGCTGCCAGCTCGCCCTCCTCCTGCTTCTGACGGAGGCGGTCGACGGTATCCCTGACCAAAGCCTGGCCATCTGCGAGCTGCCGACGGATTGAGGCAATGTCCTCGCTCGTAAGGGATGACGGCGCATCGTCCGCGTCGAGCTTCGCCAGAAGGGCACGAAGTTGCTCGTCCTTC